GGACTGATCTTCAAGCTGGCTATTCCAGTTTAAGCCCCCCATATAGATGTAGAGCACTGCCTTTAATTAAAGCCCCTTACACCAACATCGTGCGGCCGTCACTAGGAGGAAAAAATCCGACGTCAATTGACGGCCATCAGGCGGGCGCACGCTCCGCCGGCGGAGGTCGGCGTTAGTGTTTTTCTCGCACCAGCCGGCGATGCCGACACGGAGACAGGCCGCGTCGTACCTGTCAAACCACCCCCCCCCCCCCCGCCCAGACCCTGGCTGACGTCATCTCCCGGACCTGGCGCCGCCATCCGAGGACGCGAGAGAGCGGGGAGAGCGGTGTACGTCACATGTATTAGCGCGGCGGCGCTCGCTGCGCGCCGGGCGAGGCGCCGGCTCGGCGGGCGGCGCAGCGGGCACGCTCGCGGCGCGCCCGGCCGCTGCGCTCTGGCCGCACGGCTGCCGTCTTTGTACGTCTCCAGTCTGAACAGACACGCAGAACTACACCGACGGTGGACACCGATAAGCGTACATCAATATGTAACAAACGAGGACATCGATAGAAACGGCCCGGAGGCCGGCACGCGGCAGCGAGCCGCGCCGTCACCATGGCTTCACGGCGCCCGGCCACCCGTCGCTGGGCCGCTGACATGTGTATGGCATCGTTAGATATAGGCAGCTCCGTCCATGAAGCGTGACAGCATCACGAGCCGTGCTCGTCTGCTCTGGAGTCGCCGCCCACCAAGCGGTCCTGTTAGTTATGCGCGGCATGGCATCGAAAGCGACACTCAGAAATGGAGGAATCATGATGTGAAGACAGCACACGCATAATCACACATCGGCCGGCTTTTGTTGCTGTTCCCGAGATTCTTGCGTTCTGAATGAATTCGTTGTGAGGAGATTCGCTTGGACATGACGCCTGCTGGGCAGATCAGCGAGACTGGGTTTCAGTGGAAACGCGCCATCAAGCTCGTAACGAGAACACCATAACCAGATCACCTGAGTTTAGGGGCATTCTGGCACTCTATCTGAACGGATCGTAAGATTCAATATGGAACACACTTGCCCATCGCTAAGATCACAACGTTCGCCTTTTCAGCGCATCATGAAACAAACTCGAATAACAGCTCTTACGTACATTTCGGGAAGTCTGCAGCGCACCCTCCGCGGCTGTCTGGGATAAACTGGCTGTTAAAAGCCATGCTGTGTTCACCGCAGTTCGTAGTCCATATCAGCCAGCGCATAAGCTGGCCCAATGTTTTGTCAAAAATCACAAACTCTCGTCAGCGGCGCGTGTCCGCGCGAACCCGGTGCGTCTCGAGCGCTCGCGGCGGCTGACGCACGCACTAGCACTTGACTCAAGTCGCTGAGAGGTGGCAGGCCGGGCGGTCGCCGTGGTCTCGGGGGCCGAGGTGGACGCGGTGAAGGCCCCGACCGCTCGTGGTCGAAGGCGGTTGGAGAACCACTTGGAAATGCCGCTAACGAAAGTTCGCACTAATCATAGTTTCGAATCTTGGTCCTGTAAAACATAACTTGTCACGACGGCGGGACAGGACAGAGGCGAACAGAGCAAGCAGCACCTAGCTTTTAATGAAGCCCCAATAATGCCCCCTCCCATGAAAACCATTTTATTTGATCAGTAGCGTGTACATGCCAGCAATGACGGTCCGCAGTTTCCACTTAGCACTGACACCATCGGGGGAATGACGTAAGCGTTTACGTGATTTTGTGAAGAATATGACCGCTGACAGGCTGAAAAGTGATACCAACACGCTTGCTTTTAGAGACTACACCAATACACACATACCTCGTAAGCCAAGTAAACCCAATCAACGACAGACAGAAAAAAGTAAATGATTATTCGATGTAATAGCGGACCGCTTTCCGCGAACAGGCTTCCCGCGGCCTGCAGTCTATGAATATACAATAAATGACAAAGAAGTGAAACAGCTGGATATAAGGCATGCGAAAAAACAAAAAAGTTGCGATGTAGATATCAACGTACGTACTGGAAGTAAAAAATGGGTTAAGTAGTATGCTGGTAGCCTATAAAGTAGCCCACCAAAAGGCATGTGTAATTCTCCGACATAATCCTGTGTTAACGTTTCAGATACACCCCATGTCCATTCTCAAAAGCAGCTAGCTCATCCCGTGTCGGCAATATGCAAACGAAACAGCGTGATCTCGTAACGTGACACACCAGCATACAAGCAAAAAAATAACACCACAATGGGATTACACTCACCACCGCTATGTCCTGGCAAAAACAATGACCCCTGGCCGTGCAGAAGGAGGTATGACATACACGCTGCGACCCTACGCCATCAACGCGACAGATCGAAACACAACGTGCAAATGGCCCCTAATCCCCGTGTGATTTCATCAGTGTCATGTTCTTGTCTGTGGGATTTACTGGCCGATGCTGCATCCAAAAAGATCATTCAAACGTTGATGATATTTATTTGCTTAGCACTGGAACGTGGGTCATGAATAAGCAAAGCTTCCAGATTGTTGGCTTTCTGGTGTCGTTTGCAAATGTTAAAATTTCGGTGTTTTGTGTGAGCATTTGGTGCGTGAAGACGGGTACTATACATGTGCTGCATGTGGTCTCTTGGTACCTTTACGTGAGGTGCACTAAGAGGCGTCGATACAAGGATGGTGTTACACCAATGCTGGATACGGAACGAACCCTGGGACCTTTGTTGGGGAAAGAAAAAAACAGCAAAAAACTCGCCATTCTGGAGGCTTTTCTCGTTCGTGACCACTCAACAATGCTAAACGAACAAAGTCACTAAACTTTTGAAACCTTTCTCTAAAGCAACATCGCCAATAGATCACACAAAAAAACATGACACTGATAAAACTACACGGGATTAGGTCATTGACATACAGTGTTGTGATTCATACATTGATTGTGTAGGTCACAGGGTGTGATGTTAATGATGCGTTCTGCGCTAATGGGGAATAATTTATAATCTTCTTTTACCACGCCAAATAGAAGCGAGTGTAATGCGGTGAAGAGTTCGTTGTTGCTTGTACGCCTGCGTTTCATGTTCTGATTTTTACTTTGCCAGTTGCTGACATAAAATGAGCAACTAGCTGTTGCTTTTGGGAGTAGATGAAGGATGCATCGGAAACGTTAAAACAAGAATACACCAGAAGATGACACATGTTTGTTGGTCGGATACTTTTTAATTTACCAGAAACGATGTGAAATGCAACGTTCGAAAAATAAAAAAACTCAACCGGAAGTTATTCAAAGCACAACATGCCGTGCCCTCCAATGGTTAGTGCAT